TTTTTTTTTTTTTTGAGACAGAGCCTCAAACTGTCACCCTGGGTAGAGTGTCATAGCGTCACAGCTCATAGCAACCTCCAACCTTTGGGCTCAAGTGATCCTCTTGCCTTAGCCTCCTTGGTAGCTGGGACTACAGGCACCTGCTACAACACCCAACTGTTTTTTTAGAGATGAGGTCTTGCTCTGGCTGGTCTCCAACTCCTGAGCTCAAGCAATCCACCTGCCTTGGCCTCCTAGAGTGCTAGGATTATAGGTGTGAGCCACCACACCCAGCCTAAGAGTGCACTTTTAACTCTGTAAGGTGATCTCACCATTACCTGGCTGAAATGCCCTCCAGAGGCTTCCCACCATACTCAGTAAAACCCAGAGGCTTTTCCCCTGGCCTTGGAAGCTCCCCTAGGTCCCTGTCAGACTCTCTGATCTCATTCCCCCTCTTCCCCACCTGCCTCACTGACTTCTCAAACACACCCAGCCTGCTCATGTTCCAGGCCTCTGCCTGGCGCACCCCATCCCCATATACTCTCACTTTATTAATTTCTCTGCTCAAATGCTCCCTCCTCAGAGAGGCCTCTCCTCTAAAATAGCATCTCCTGGCCAGGTGCACAAGCTCTCACCTGTAATCCCAGTGGTTCAAAACCAAACCAAGGAAGAGTGAGACCCTCGTCTCTACTAAAAATAGAAAAATTAGCCGGGCATTGTGGTGGGTGTCTGTAGTCCCAGCTACTTAGGAGGTTGAGGAAGGATGATTGCTTGAACCCAGGAGTTTGAAGTTACTGTGAGCTAGACTAACACCACAGCACTCTAGCCTGAGTGACAGAGTAAGACTCTGTCTCAAGGAAATAAAAAACAGCATCTCTTATCAATTCATCCCTTACTCTACTTCATTTCTTCCTCATGGCCTTCACTGCCACTGGACCCTGCATCACATACTTGGGCAGGGACTTTTGTCCATTTTATCCCTCAGCAATCAAGAGCAATGCCTAGTCACAAATGGTACTCAGTAAACATTTGTCCAATAAATGAATTAAAGATTGGTTTGGATTTAAATCCAAATGTCCAGAGATACTTGGAACTATGCTTTAGATAACTGGGGACCCCAAGTGTCCAGTGGACTGCATTCTGTAGTACCTAAGACACATGCTGGCCTTGTTCATTCACTCTGCAGGGCACTTCCCAGAGTGCTGGGTGTCCCATCTCTATGCCCCTCCCTCTCTAAGCCTGCCTTTCTGCAAAGACCATAGGCAGCTCCCCCTTCCACAATCACCCTGCAGGTAGGCTATGGCCAGACCCAGGCCTCCTTACCACAGTACACCCGTTGTAGAGGTTATGCTGGTCCTTGTGGGCGTGGGCACAGAAGTCCATGCAGGCCGTGACCCCCGCGAAGGGGCGCCCTTCCTTCAGCCCCAGACGGCAGTCGATTGCTATTTCCTCATTGGTCACCTGTGGGATGGTAAAGGAGAGCTATTCCCGTGACCTGATTGGGTGGGGGGGGAATGGCAGGGCAGCAGGTCAAGGATCATAGCTGCCTTGTACTTGGATGATAGGAGGGAGGTTTTCTGGCTAAGAGCCCCCAGCTCCAAAAACGTTAGTTTCAGGCTGCTTTGGAGTTACTTCCACCTGGGTTGTCTTGAGTCCCCTGGGCTCATCTTGGCGATGCAGGGGTTGTCATGGGACAAAAACTTGGACCTTACCCATGGAAGACCAGACCTAATGAGGTCGAGGATTATAAGGGGAAGGGGAGCCAGGACCAGGGACAGAGGTGAGATGCTGTGGGATGCAGTCAGCTAGATGTAAACAGGGGGGCCTGTCAAAGAACTACATCATTGTTTTATACTTCTAGGCTGGGCTCATCCCATAATAGCACACAAGAACCCACTCTCTAGTGTCCCTACTCCACGGGGCCTGGGCAGAAAAAGGCCTAGGGCCTAGTACCTGGTTCTGATAAGCTTGAGGGGCCAGCCGCTTATACAGGGGTGCAACTTCGGTAGCCAGGTCCTGGAAACTCTTCCGGAGTACTTCTTCCTGCAGAGAGAAGAACAGTCACACACACGCAAAGTGCCCTGCCTGGCATGCTCTGTACCCTGGAAATGAACTGCCATCCTAGGACCATCACAATGGTGTCACTAGGAAGGTGAGAAGTGAGGTGTCACTGGGTGTCTTTACAGCACTCTCTCTGGGAGGGGTATGGGTACATGTCCATTTGGGGACCCTTTTCTCAGGAAAAGTCACTACCTAAAGGTACAGTCACTTGGTTGCCCAACTCCTACTCCTTTAAGGCCCTAGCCCAGGCCAGCCCAGAACACACAGGACAGGTTCTTGCTTTCAAGCACTGAACACCCAAGGTCAGAGATACGGAATAGTGGGCAAGAAAGAACCATGAGCATATGGATCCTTCCTCTACATTAGAGATAGGACAAAAGGAAAGACAGGGTTTGTGCTGGAAATTCCACAGCCAGTCTGTCCTTGAGCCAGATATGCAAACAGATCTCGGGGCTCCGACCACTAGACTGGCACCATATAACGCATTTGTTGGAAGCTGTGTGTGTGAGTTTTTGAAATATACATTAATGTGGTAAATAAAATTAAATAAAATTGTAACTTCCTCTCTCATTCGTGTCAGCCACATTTCAGATGCTTAGAAGCTACATGTGGCTCTGGTGCAGACAGCAGAGAAGGTTTCCTTTTCATAGACGATCCACTAAATAGCACTGTTCTGGGTAAAGCAGCAGCCACCTGGTCACAGCGGGCAGAGCATCAGCCATCCATAGCCTGTCTCTGGCCCTCCGAGGGTAGCAAATAGGGCTTGCAGGGCTCCTAAGAGGTCTGAGCACAGGCACACAACTCATGAGGAAGAAAGGAGGAGGACAGAACAGACAAACAGAACCAGGCACACAGAACTAGAAATGGAAGACTGAGACCAATGGCTCAGCTGCCAGCCACTTCCAACCAATCCACCTCCCTGGCTATTGTCTAGAGGCTGCTACCAGCGTAGAGGACCTCAAGCCAGCGTGAAGCTCCTGAGCTACAGAGAAACACAGGCCTGGGTTTAAATCTTGCTTCACTTTAGCCATATTGCCTTCAGCAAGCCACTCACTTATCTGTACAGTGAGGGCAGACAGATCACTGAGAGTGATGAAATTATCTGAGACACCCAGGAGGTGGTTGGCACAGGATCTAGCACACAGTAAGCTCACCGGAAGTGGTGGCTGTCAGAACAGGGAACATATTTGTGAGAAGTTAAACCAAGGCCTCTTCATTCCCAGTAGCTCTTAGGTCGGCGGTTCTCAACCTGTAGGTCATGACCCACAGGAACTGTATTAAAGGGCCGTGGCATTAGAAAGGTTGAGGACCACTGTTTAGGTCCTGCTGGCCCTGGGGTTCCTCTATTCACTGAAGCAACTGCATTTGCTGCTTTGGGGTGGGGGATAGTAGGTCCCAATCGTAAATAAAAGTCTAGTATCAAATTGGAATAGTTTAAACTCCCACATAGTCTTAAAGCCAGAGTCTAAAAAAGGAGATCTAAATTTTAACATTTTTCTTTTTACTTATGAAGATCAAAGCTTAGCTATCAGAGCATAGAAGATAATATGGGCTTTGGTGTAGAGAAGATGTTCCTGCCCAAGGGGTAAGGCTGAAGCCCTTCTGGGACTAGGAGATAGGAGAGACTTGGAAGGTTGAGACTGGGATCAAGATGTTTGCCTGGACCCTGGAAAAGGGTCTGGATACCCCCATCTTCCCAGAGGCTCAGGCAGGAGGAGCACAGAATGAGGGAGAGCCCAAATAGGCTCGCATCTTCTTTACACTTAGCTCAGAGTGAAGACCACGTCTAAGTAGAGCCTTTATGACATGAGCAACAGGGAGAAACAGCAGCAGGCAGCTGGCCTGAGCTGACTTCCTGGCTGCCTGAGCAGGGCCTTGTCCTGTTGTCATGGGGAAGTGGGGGAGGCTCTGTGGGTGAGGTCCAGAAGAGCCTGAGTGAGGAGACCTCATGCCTAGTGGAAGTACTGTATGGATGCCAGCCTGAGCCCAAGGACCAGGCCAGGCCCACAGCATGGAGACCACTGCCCAGAGACATCTGCCAGCAGCAAGGCAGGATGAGAGATGCATCGGAAAGACCCAAAGGGTAGCCCACAGACAGGAGGAGGCCCTTCTTCCTGCAGCACCTATTACCCCCAGAAAGACATCCTGGAAAGAATGACCGTCTGAGAGGGTCAAATTCTGATGAAGAATTTGAATATTTAGAACATATGCCTTAAATAGATTGTTTAAACTAGAAGAACCTTAGGTTCTATAACTGGTAAGCCTAATTCTTCATACTTCTTGCCTGTCCACATGCTGCACTCCTCTTGTTTCACAGCAAGATAAGGTCAGTTTAAAAAATAAGAGTAAAGCAAGTTCCCCTTCCCATGCCTCCGAGTTGTGGTGAGCCAGTCCTGCCTCCCAGTGGACTACGGAGACACCAGGCAGGAACGGGTGGGAAGGACGGTCCCTGCACTCCCTACACTCCCTGGAGCTCCACTCACCTCTTTGGGATTGTCCCCTGCGAGGCGGAACTTGCGAGGTGTCTTGCTCCGAGCATATTTACAGCCGTTGAAGTACATGCTCCATGAGCAACCGAAGGAGAAGGAGGCACCGCAGGTGTTGGGGTCTTTGCCTTGGCAAGCGCAGGTCCGGCTGCAACATACATCACAGGTCAGGCATACAAATGCAACACTCCTATGTTCTGGAATCTTCCTCCTCCTTCAAGAGGTAGCCCCTTGAGGCCTGGCATCCACCAGATACCCTGTAACTGAAACTCATTCGTCCCTGCCCCTGACCCCTTGCTCAAATTTCCTTGTGTAGAAAGTCAGCTCCAAGCAACATGCTCTGCCCTTGCCATGAGCCTGGAGGTTTAACCCAGAATCTGCTGTTGGGAGAAGCACATGGGTTGTTTGAGATAAAGGGGAAGAACCTATTAAGGTTTATAGGTGAAAACCTTTTAAGGTTTATACTTTTTCTTAACTCTAATATCTTCAACTAGCTCCAGCAGAGACCATACAAACAGGGAAATAATATGAAACCCGGAGTTTGAATATGCCTATTTCTTATAGCCTAGATGCTGACAGGCCTTTCAACAAACACTGATATAAAAATTCAATGCTTAATAAGATCTGGAAACAACCCAAGTGCCCCTCCCTGGGGAATGGATAAACACACTGTGATATATCCACATAGTGGAATACTACTCAGTGATAGTAGAAATAAGCTACTGACACAGTGGCCATCAGAGATGAACCTCAAATATGTTATGTTTGGGCTTGGTGCCTATGGCTCAAGCGGCTAAGGCACCAGCCACATATATCTGAGCTGGCAGGTTCGAGTCCAGTCTGGGCCCGCCAAACAACAATGACAACTACAACCAAAAAATAGCTAGGCATTGTGGCAGGCTAGCTAGTAGCTAGTAGTCCTAGCTACTCGGGAGGCTGAGGCAAGAGAATAGCTTAAGCCCAGGAGTTGGAGGTTGCTGTGAGCTGTGATGCCATGGCACTCTACCCAGGGCAACAGCTTGAGGCTCTGTCTCAAAAACAAAAACGTTACATTTGGGGGAAGAAAGGCTACACACTGCACAATCCCATTTATGAGATACCACGCAAAGCAAACCAGAGACAGGAACACATGGGGAAATTTTGAGGGATGATACAACTATTCTTTATCTTAATTGTGATGTGGTAGCTACATGACTGTAAACATTTACCAAAACCCTCCATCTTATATACCTAAAGGATAAATTGTTTTTTTTTGAAACAGAGTCTCACTTTGTCAACCTCGGTAGAGTGCTGTGGCATCATAGCTCACAGCTCAAACTCTTGGGCTCAAGTGATTCTCTTGCCTCAGCTTCCAGAGTAGCTGGGACTACAGGCATACACCACAATGCCCAGCTATTTTTAGAGACAAGATCTTGCTCTAGTTCAGGCTGGTCTTGAACTCATGTGCTCAGGCAATCTGCCCACCTTGGCCTCCCAAAGTGTTGGGCTTATAGGTGTGAGCATGCCTGGTCTAAAGGATAAACCTTATTGTAAATAAATAAACATGTACCTTAGTTTAAAAAAAAAAATAGGAAAACCCTTAGGCCAGGCACGGTGGCTCACATCTGTAATCCTAGCACTCTGGGAGGCCAAGGCAGGTGGATTGCTTAAGCTCAGAGTTTGAGACCAGACTGAGGAAAAAGGAGACCCCATCTCTACTAAAAATAGAAAAACTGAGGCAAGAGGATCATTTGAGCCCGAGTTGGAGGTTGCTGTGAGCTATGATGCCACAGCACTCTACCCAGGGTGATAGCTCGAGACTCTGTCTCCAAAAAAAAAAAAAAAAGAAAATTAATTAATAGGAAAACCCCGATAAGGGCAGGTTTTATAAATATCATCATCAATACCTTATATCTGAGAGGCATATATATGTATTGCCCCACGCTTGTTGACATCATTAGCATGGGGATATTGATCTGGGGTTTAACAGTGAAGCTGAGCCATGTTAATAGCCTCTCTCAAGCCAGGGCCGAGAACCCAGATCAAGACCTCTGTGTGAGCATCTTCACACCCCACAGAGCTTTCCCTAGGGCTGCGCCCGGGGTCCCCTTCACCCCTCACTGGGGCCCTCCCACACTCTGTGCCCTGCCACATACTCATCGTTGAGGCCGCATCTCCGGGTGGTGGGGTTCCCGTATTTCCGGAGAGTGTCAGTGAGCTCCTGGTACAGGGTATCTCCAAGGCTACGGGGGATGCCCTCCCAGGCCAGGATGAGGATGACGATCACAGCGTTCTGGCAGTGGTGGCCTGCACGGTGCCGCACCAGGCACAGCAACTTCTCCTCCAGCGTGTGCCTGCGGATCACCTGCGGAGACAAAGGGTGGCTCTGTGAGTCAAAGAGGCCACCCATGCTCCTCTATGTGGGTGCCACCACCCCTTCTCTGCCACATGGACCTGGGAGTGTAGGTCTTTAGGGCTATGTCCTGAGGAGTATCACACTGTGGCAACAGCAACCACACAAACTAAGAGAACATTTACAACTAGGAAATGAAAAACATAAAAGTTATATATTTTTTGAGGCAGAGTCTCACTTTGTCACCCTTAGTAGAGTGCTGTGGCATCATAGCTCACAGTAACATCAAAATGTCAGGCTCAAGTGATTCTGTTGCCTCAGTCTCCCAAGTAGTTGGGACTACAGGCACCTACCACAACACCTGGCTATTGTTAGGGACAGGGTCTTGCTTGTGCTTAGGTTGGTCTTGAACTCCTCAGGCAATCTACCTGTCTTGGTCTCCCATAGTGCTAGGATTATAGGCATTAGCCACTGCACCTGGCATAAAAGTTCATTTTTTAAAGAATAAAATAAACTATAAAGTCCACATTATTGATGACTTACATAGGCTTAGCAGGAAAAATACACTGATAATAAATATTGTAAGTCAAAATATGATCAGAGTTTGGTTTTTTGGTCTGTCTTTTTGAGACAAAGTCTTGCTGTGTCACCCAGGCTGAAGTAGCATGGTGTGGCCTCAGCCCAGCTGACAGCAACCTCAAACTCCTGGGCTCAAGTGTGATCCTCCTGTCTCAACCTCCTGAGGCTCACATCACAATGCCAGCTTATTTTTCTACTTTTTTTTTGAGACAGAGTCTCACTCTGTTGCCCTCTGTAGAGTGCCTCTAGTCATAGCTCACAGCACCCCCAAACTTTTGGGGTCAAGTAATTCTCTTGCATCAGCCTCTACAGTAGATGGGACTATAGGCACACAAAACAACGTCCAGCTATTTTGTTGTTGTTATTGCTTGTTCACTTAGCCCAGACCAGGAATGAACGCATCAGGCCTGGTACACATGGCTGGAGCCTAACCACTGAGCTATGGATACCAAGCCAACTTTTCTATTTTTAGTAGAGATGGGGGTTTTGATCAGGCTGGTCTCCACCTCCAGACCTCAAACGATCCTTTCTCCTTGGCCTCCCAGAGTGCTAGGTTACAGGCATGAGCCACTGTGCCTGGCCACAAAGATTTTTATGTTGTTTTAAAACATTTGTAGATAAGATGCTGAATACCTATGTGTTTTTAGTTAAAAAGCAAGGAGGTTGCCTATGGAAAGCAGTTTAGTGGTTCTTCAGAAAGAATTGCTGTATGACCCAGCAATTCCACATCTACAAATACCCTGGCATACTGACAGCAAGGACCCAGATCCTTGTACATCAAGTGCACAGCAACATTGCCCACAAGAGCCAAATGGTGAATGAATTAAAAAATAGGTTATATCCATACAGTGGAATATCATTCCGCTTTAAAACAGAATGAGATTCTGACCTATTACAACATGTATAAATCTTAAAAACATGCTATGTGAAATAAGTCAGACGTAGAAGAGCAAATATTGCCTGTCCCACCTATAGAGGTACCTAGAATAGTCACACTGGTAAAGAAAGTAGGTTAGAGCTTATCAGGGGCTGGGGGAGCAGAGAATGGGGACTTGTTAATGGGCACAGAGTTTGAGATGATGAAAAAAGTTGGGAATAATCAGTTGCACAACAATGTGAATGCACTTAACACCACTGACCTATGCACTTAAAATAGTTAAAATAGCTACATTTTGTTTACATATTTTGCCACATTAAAACAAATAATGTAACATGCCAAAGCCACTGAGCTGTACACATCAAATGGGTGAAATGCATGGCATGTGATTTACATATCCATAAACCTGTGAAGTAAAAAAAAGCAAAGGCCCCAACATGAACTGCTTCGCTTCTCAGATCTGGCCATTCCCTGGAACCAGGTCCTCATTCAACTCCCAAAACACTGTTCTCGCTCACAGGATTATGTATCAGGGCAAAGGGGTGGCTGAAACCCCCTGAAGAGTCCCAATTCTGGGACCAGATAAGATGTGCAGGCAGGGGTGGGGATGGGGAGATGAGGTCAGACTGAGGGGCAAGACCTTGAGGAAGGGACACCATAAAGGACTGAAGTGAGGGCTACTGCAAAGAGTTTCACATTTTAGAAAGTGGTGGCAGAGAGTCAGGAAAGGACTAGACAGGGACACGAGCTAGGGTGCCACTGAACAGAATGGACTCTTGAGACATCTAGGAGAAAAGTGGCTTTAGGACCACCTGACTACAAGGGCTGAGAACAGGGAAACATCTTAAATGACATCTACATTTTATAGCTAAAGAGACTGAGTGGGGGTTGTTTACTGGCAAGTTAACTAGGAGCATGCTGGGCACCCAAGTGGCTTCTCCAGGAGAACCTGGAGGTCATGAGATGCCTGGGCTGTAGACAGACGTAGTTATGAGCAGGTCCATGTGGGTAGATGTCCAGAGGGGTAGCCAGGCAGGCAATACAAACACAGAAAGGGGCCAGATACAAGCCTAGGACGTGGTGTGGACCACAGCAACGTGAAAGCCTTTGCCCATCAAAAGGGGGAAGCCAGGCCTTCTCCCATTGACTGTTGCCTGGTGGGAATTCAAGGCTCCGGAGCCTAAATTCTTCCAATTTTGCAAGAAAAAAAATGGTAATCCATATTTTTACATGAAATCTCCCCTTTTGAAAAGGTGAGCACATTTCTTTTATTAATTGTGGTAAATATGTCTAACAATTTACCATTTCAACCATTTTGGGGCATTGTTTAGTGGCATTAGGTACATTTACACTGTTATGTAACACTCACTACCCATTTCTAGAACTTTTTCATCTTGCAAAACTGAAACTCTGTTCATTAAACAATAACTCTCTATTCTCCCCTCCTGCCAACCCCTGGCAACCACCATTCTACTTTCTGTCTTCAGGAATTTCACTGTTCTCAGCAAGTGGGATCATACCATATTTGTCCCTTTGTGATTGGATTATTTCATTTAGTGTAATGCCCTATACATGTTGTAGCATGGGCCAGAATTCCTTTCAAACTTTTAAAAATAGACTGGATAAGGTAGCTCCTGCCTATAATCCTAGGACACTGAGAGAGCAAGATGGGAGGAACATTTGAGGTTAGGAGCTGGAGAGCAGCCTGAGCAAAGAGAGTGAACCCATCAATACTAAAAAATAGAAAACTTAGCTAAGCATTATGGCATGCATCTATAGTCCCAGTTACCCAGGAGATAGAGGGAGGAAGACTACTTGAGCCCAGGAGTTTGAGGTTGCTGTGAGCTAAGCTGACGCCATGACACTCTAGCCCAGGAGACAGAATAGGACTTTGTCTCAAAAAACCAGAATAAAACCAACAAAAACACTTCTTTTTTTTTTTTTTTTTT